CTGACGAGGCAGCAAGACTCTTTAAAGAGGAGGGAATCGACGTGGTATACAAGGTTCTGGAGATCGCTGGAGGAAGCGTCGTGACGCGAGGGGATAACAGTTGACGGCGGTTTGGTGGGTCCCAGAAAGGTGTAGGTTTATTACGGCACCAATAGGCCTGCAGACCAGATTTCAAAACTCGTCATCTATTCATTCAGTCATTAGAACGACACATCCAACAATGAAGCACAAATGTAAAGGGGAAAAACCCGTGGAAAGGAACATCACTCCGAAGCCCCTATTATATACTATCTAGAGGTATGCACCGAGCCCAACAGACTTCACCTTGTCCGGCACACTCCCCCCGAGGCCTTTGACCAGTTGGATTAGCTCTACGCGAATCTCGTCTCCAATCATATCTGACGAGTCGGGGTCGAGCACAAAGGCGAACACCGCGAGGAGGTGGTCAATATGAGGAGCAAGTGAATCCGGGTTTGTCTTGGATACGTGGAAGATGGCGCGGAAAACAGGTCGGTTCTCGAGGAAATCATGCTTGAGCGGAAGTGCACCGATGAAAACAGGCATGACCTGCGCAGCATACATTGTAAGCCGCGGTTGCCAGGTAGTAGGGACGACAGTACTAACCTGGTCTAGGGGCATTGATCCCGCGTTCCTCAGCAGCATCCTCGCAACACATCCAGTGGCATTGTCCTTGGCGTTGAACTGAGAATGTGGTGCACCCTCAACAACATCAAAGTACGGTCGCAGGGCGGTCAGGATCGCGAGGTACTGTCCACTCATGTCCACGTCGCTATTCTCCACGAGCACCCCCATCGCAAACGCAGCATTGCTTCGCACCTCAGCGTCCTCGTCCGAAAAGCCCTGAGAGATGAGCGTAAACACATCCTGAGTGAACGGCGTTATACCACTCTTCATCCCAGATATGATTTCGCCGAGACAGCCAATTGTCGAAGTACGCTCACTGAGTGAACGGTTCTTGGACTACGCATGGACGATTTAAGCACATATTTGTGTAGGTTGATATACGAGCGAGGGGCGACTCACGTAGTACTTGCTAAGGAGTGGGAACAACTGCGCAAACAGCACAGCGAAGTCCGGTCCAAGGATACTCGCAAACGAGGCGACGAGGTCGCTCGCGGCAGAGATCAGGACCTGATCGTACTCGGCTTGATCCTCATTGTCTTCAGCCTCTTCGTCGTCCTGATCAGGGTCCTGCTGGCAGAGTGCCTTGCCCTCAAGGATCTCAGTTGCGAATCGAACCATCGTTTCAAGATCTGTTAAGGGATATAAAGATTGAGCAAGTGCCTCTCATTTAAATTAGTAGCAGCGGCATCTCAGAGACTTGAATGGGTCCGAAGACTAGCCCTCATAACAACTTGCGTTGCTCGAGAGTTTGCAGATAGGTTGCATCTTATAGAGGAAAGACGGATGAAACCACTTACGTCCTTCAGCAAGGCCGGGGCCGACCTTGGTCAGTGTCTCGCTCAGGCTCTGGCACACATTCGCGACGACGTTCCTAGATAAAATAAACGTTTAGTCTCATTGGCTCCGAAAAAGACGTAAACGAGACGAGGGGATCAGGATATACGCGTTCGTCGCATAACTCCGTAGAGTGTCGAAGTGAGCTGAGTTAACGATGTGGTATCTTCATGCGCAGGAAAGGTTGAAACTAGATCAACAATTTTTCGACTCACTTGTCATCCTCAGTCTCCCACATGACGAATATTTCGGGCATAACGTGCGTAACCAGGTCCTTGACGTTTTGGTGCAGCGGAACTTTCTGCGGCATTTATTAGCTCTCGATCAAAGGGTTAGCATGGACTACTTGCCACTCCGCTACCAGGAATCCACTCGACGGGGGTGGAAAGTTCGTAGAAAGTTTGGATGATCTCGAACAACGAAGTAACGGCCGACTTGCGGATCCCCTCGTAGTAATGGGACAATAGCTCAACGAGTTCATGCACGCACGGCTCGACGTACGGCAGGAAATGGTTGCGAGTGTACATGAAAACAGTCCCAATGGTGTCGGCGGCGATCTCCTTCTCGACGGCGATGGCACTGTTAACAGCGAGCTCCTTGTCTTCGTCAACATCCTCGATATCAATCGACTCGGAATCGGCAAGGACAGGGATAGCATCCGAAGAAGAATTGCCAGTAGCCTTCTTCAGCTCCATAAGTTCCTTGGCTATAAAGACCCGGTTCAGTATGTGGCATTCAACCATATAGCTTCAACTTACCGAATGCGGTATCCTCGCCTCCTTCCTCTTGCTTGCAGCTTGCAATAAGCGCTGGAATAACACGATCGAGGTATGGCGCAAACTCCTCCTCGAATACGCGGGCCATCACGCCGAATATGAGGAAGCTACACTCGCGAAGGCGGGCAGAATCCAGCGACATCCCCTCAAAGGCATTATTCATCACTGGCTCGAAGTAGGGACGGAAATGTTCTCGCCCAACAGCGTCGGCAAGCGTGCCAACAGTGTCCATAGCAATGCCCCGGAGCTCCTGCTCACTCCCTTCACCACGAAGTACAAGGAACGGCTGTAGACGCTGCATGGTGGACTGGAAGTAGGGCAAGAAGCTAAGTTTGGCAGCGTGAGCGGCGGATCCAATTGCTCCCGCAACAATACCCTTGACCGAGTTGGGAGCCGTATCCAGCAATCCAGAAAGACGATCCATAAGCTGTACGAGGTATTGGGTGATCGAATCGCCAAGGATCTCGAGGAAATCATCGAGAGCAGTGCAAGCAGCTCCCTGGGTATCGGGGTTGTTGATCATGTCGAGGAGAATGGGAAGAATGGTAGCATGACGATCCACCACTTCCTCCTCAAGCCACTCGCAGGTACATCCCAGAGCGGACAACGCGGCTTTACGCACAACCGGGTGGGGGTCGGCAAAGCCGGCGTCAATAAGTGGCCAGAGCTGGCGCATATGGGGGCGAATAAACTCGGAGCAACCCTCGAGGGTGACTGCGAACGATGTCAGAGCGGCCTTTCGTTGGCCAGGGTCGGAAGATGCCATGTATTGAGTGACGATCGAGTGAAGAGTTGGGAACACCTGAGAGGGAGGCAGCGATGTTGCCAGTTCGTCGATGACGCGGAATGCGGTCTACGGAAATGACTAAGTTGGATGCTCCCGTTGAAGGCGAAAACATCTCACCCTCGACGGACATTCGTCATCAGCATCTTCAGTATCCTCTTCGGCTCCAATAGGCATCAACCCTTCGAGAATAGGCTTCGCAAGATTAAGACTTTGAATCCTGTTCTTTTTACTGTGACCAGGTTAGTACGAACACATTTTGGGAGATTGCCAAACATACTATTTCACGGTCCAGGTCAGCGAGTTGAGCGACATAATACGCAAAGAGGTTTCATAATTTTTGTTTCCTCCACAGCGCAGGAAGAATTCAACCATCTGGGGCATATGCTTGGAAAGCAGGGGGGTTTCCTAAAACAACGAGGTTAATGCAGCTAGCGATGGCTATGTGATATGCTCACCAGAATTAGCAAAGTCTCGAATACATCAAAAACGTTGCGTGCCCCTTCCTCGTTGCTGTTCTCGAGGCAATCGGCAAGAACATTAATCATCCCGGGTATAAGAGTTTGAAATTGTTTCTGCACACCGAGTAAACATCGTTAGGGTGCAGGGTAGCACTGAACTCACAATCTCGGTTTTCTGTTCAGAATCAATGTACTGCGCAACTTGTCCCAAACACCTAACGGCCGTGACACGAACTTCTGCACTCTCTGGGTCGCGAATGAGGTTGTCGAAAAGGGAGAAGAATGTAGAGAGGCGCTCCGAGACCTCATCCATCAAGTTGTCCAGAATGGTAAAAAGCACATACACGCCAACCTCACGGTGGGCCGCAACGCTGGCAACACATGATTCCTCAACCCAAGGGATGAGTTCGCGCCAAGTAACCTGCTGTGTGCCCCCCTGAAGCTCAAACTGCGCAATCGCCGCAATTACACGAGCGATGGTGTGGCGGACAATCGACGCAGGCTCCGCAAGGATAACTTGGGTGATCCTGGCCTTGATCGCGCTTCGAAGGTTTTGTGGCACATTCACCCAGAGTTGGCCTTGGTGTTGATTGACGCGTTTCCGCAGCTCTACGGCGGCAAGTTGACGAATCTACGCGCCATGGCTCAGTACTCGTACTACTCGAGTGTTCATCGACGCGTACATTTTGGTCAGGGGAGGAGTTGATGATTTCAAATAGGGCCGGGATACAGTCCGAGCTCGTCCAGTAGTTCTTTGCCAAAGTAGCAGTCGCCTAGAGCGCGTATGAGAGAGTGACAAGGCGGGATACGTGCTAGACGTACCGCTTTGATGGCATTCGTATCAGGAGCGGCAGTTTGCGCCAGGAGGTCGTGAAGATTTTTGATATATAAGGGCTGAGGGGCAAGCAATCAGCACAATCGCCCTAACCCATCTGCCACTCGTGAGCGTACATCCATGGTTTATGTGGAGTTCGGGTTGAGAGGAGCTGTCGCAGGAACGTGCCTGGACTCGTGAGTGGACGTAAAGAGACGCGTTGGGTGAGATGGATGAATTCGAACCAAATTTTCTGCACGGACCACTTTTGAGGGACTCCATCACGTGATATGGAGCCCCTGTTGATCGCGACAAGCCTAACCACCCAGAGCACTGGCAGGCCAGCCTTTCTGGGGAAACCAGCCAAGGCAATATACATACACCTAGACCTCAAAGAAAGAGAAGGACCGTGCGACATTTTAGCCCAGAAATCAATGCACGAATCAGGCAAACAGTTCAGACATGTCGCTGGTTTCAGGCTTGCCAATGGTCGGCTTTGGGGTACGAGGCCTTGAGGCAGCCGACCTGGGCTGATATGACAACAAGCGCATGGACAAACGTAAAGGAATTAATAATAAAAGCGAGTATATGAACTGGGGTTTTACTCGGTAAAGGGATCATGAGATGGTAACAAGAGCTGAGGTGACGAGGCTAATCTAGTATCTTACAGGACGAAAATATATTAAGACCTCTTAGCTCAGTGGTAGAGCGTGTGATTCCAGCTTATACAAGCAACTCAGTCGATTCCACAAGGTCATCCGTTCAACTCGGGTAGGGGTCACTTTTTAGCTCCGTTTGGTTGCATTATATTCAACACCGAGCGTCATTTAGGCTTTGTCCATGTGGTAGATCTTGCAGCCCCGTGTGCACCGAGTGCATCAAAGCTTGAATCATCTCGATTGACGCAGTAGTTGCGGAGATGTAGACTCTCTGGATTGCGAAATTTCGGTATTTTTGGCCAATCTCTCATTTTATCCCCCGCCACGCCTTGTTCGCCCTTTCAGCTAGCTCGTATGGTCAAATATATATAGTTCGAGTTAGGATTCAATATCGGTGTAGGATCCAGGCTTTAAAGCGCAATGGTACATGGCACACTAGCATGCTCCGTCTGTTTTGTAAACCAATGCATCAAAACAGGCCATTAGTCCCGCAAAGTTTTATATTTGGCGGAAACCTTTTGGGTCGTAGTAGGCGACGTTCATTCTTACGTGTTCATTCCCAGCTCTATACGACATATATGTGATGTTTGGCCAGTGAGTCGTTCAACGAACCACTCCCGTCACCCAAACACCACCGGTTTGCTATTTCCCGATAAACCACCCTCGTCGGCCACAGCTAAACGCTCTCTGTCGACGGGGAAAGTGCCACCCACTAGCTAGCCTGTGTGACGAATGATCAGACGTGGCCGTGGTGGCAGAGCGGGACAAGCTCAGAACTCTTCCCGACCGCCGTTTGAAGCCGAGCCGACCGGATCCAGTTGGAGCATGATCGCATAATTGTCAGTTTCAGAGCCGGAGGCTCACTTGCTGTCGACTACGATTAAGGAACATGCTTCGTGATTCACTTGCTGTCGCGGGCCCCTCTTATTTTACCTCGGGTTCCCAGGCGTATTCCCACTCACCCAAAATCAGCCCCTCCTTTTCGACCTGTTACCTGCCAGTCCTCTCTAATCTCTCTTATAATCCCCTTGGACGCACCGAACCATGCCTGGTATCTCCTTGATAAGCAAGCTCAAGTCGAAAGTTAAACACCAAGGTGAGGTTGCGGTGTGCAAGTTCAAAGTCGACGCTGCCGAAGCCATCGGTGTCCCCGTCCACGACACAACACCTATCGCCTCGCTCAAGGCAGAAGCAAGCGAGCTATTCAAGAACGGCGATAGCAAGGGCGCGCAGCGGGTCTACACTCGAGCTTTGGCACACCCCGATTTGGATCCCCATGAGCGGGCTGTCTTGTATTCCAATCGTGCTGCGGCGGACATGAAGTTGCGCAGGCGAGTTTACACTTCGTACGCGCGTATTATTTGTGTCATTGATAACGACACAGATTTGAAGAAGCCATCTCCGATGCCAAAAAAAGTGTCGAGGCGGACCCAAACTATGCTCGTGGATTCGAGCGTCTTGCTACTGCACAACTGGTAGTTATATGCGAGACACCTTTCTGATCATTACTTACGCACACCCAGGGCCTACATCGCTTCGCAGATGCATACGAATCCTATGGGAAAGCCGTCGCCATTCTGGATGCTATTGCCGAGCCAACGTCCGCCGACATTGCCCGCAAGGTCAAGATTGAGCAGGCCTTGGCGGAAGCGCAGCGCAAAGAGGCTGGCCCAGATGTGTTGCTTATTCGAAACGCAATTGGGAATCTACCCTGGGACAAGGCAGCAGGTGAGCCTCCCACCCTAGTTGATAGACTGGCTCGAAACAGGTTGTAGCAATGCGGCCGAGTATGGATGCGTCCTCCGACGGAGCGTGCACCAGTGTAGGTGTTCATGCTCAAGCTGTTCACGAATCTGCTAACTGGGACTTAGGCCTGGATTATTTTGGAAGCCCACGAGGTATACAGATGTGCTTTTTGGTCGAGTCGCGCCCACTTATTCTTGTGATAGGTCTTCAAGAAAGGGTGCGATGCACTCTGGGAGCTCCAAAAGAACGAAACCTCAGAGGGCCTTGCGATTTATGGTCGTCTTGGGGTGGGTTTTGTCTGAAATAATTCGACTCGTCCGCATATACTCACACGACTATAGGCTGTGGCCGATATTTCTGATGGTCTCTTGCGCGATGAGCGTGCGTTCCACATGACTACACCTGACTGGAAGGACAGGTACGGTTACCAAGGTACGCAACTTGGCGGGTCCATCTTCGCTCGCTAAACCCCTCCGTAGCGCAATACGAGGCTATGGAATACAACGCGTGGATCAACCAAGGTGACGAAGCTGTCATCATGCGAGAAATTCGAGAGCGTGTCGCTACTCGCGGCTGGAACGACGTCCGGCCCGCCCTCGACGTGACTGTCCGCGCGTGGATCATGCATGCCTTCCTGCTTCGCTCCATCCCGGACTATACCACCGCCGTGCAACTTTTGCAAAAAGTTCAACGGTTCTTGACGTGGGGCGACCACCAATGGCCGAACGTCCCGACCTCTGAGCGCGGGCCGATCTTCGAGCCAACTTTCAGGCGAAGCGTCAAACGTCTATACCTCCATACCTTGTACCAGGTAATCCAGGATCCAAGCGCTTTCGTTATGGCTGACATCCCCACAGGCCGTTATAAACAACCCCGGTCCCAACTCGCCGTTCTCTCTCGCCGAGCTCAAGAATACCTCGGCCGCCATCCTGGACGACGTTGAACAAAACCCGCCCAAGGACGAGGAAAAGCATACCCCGGGGACCATCGCCGCCTTTTGGTTGTACCCCACGGCCGAGGCAATGATCATTGATGGCTTTTACCACATGCAGCTCGCGGTCACGACTGTGCCCGTCAACCCGGTGACGCAAAAGGAGAACTTTAGGCTCGCATACGAGAAGTATTTGGCCGGTGCAGAGCGGTTCCCCAAGGACGACGAGGTAAGTGCCCTTTCTGTATCACTATGAGCAATAGCTTACTTTAGTTCGACAGAACCACGCATGTGAGCACCCACGCCCGAGCTTCGTAAATTATTAGTTGCTAACGTATTCGCAGACTACCTCAAGAGCGCTCTCGAATGCCTTATGGAAAGTGGTGCCACCTTGCGCGAGACCCTTCCTCTCATGGAGCGGGTACGCAAAGCAGCGCCTCTTATGAAGAACATCTGGGAAATTTCGAGCATGTCCCTTTGTGGCCGAGACGCTGCGCTTCAAGCCGTAATCTCATTCGAGGAAGGAGTGCAAAAGGACCTGAAAGATGGAACGATCACGCTGGACGATGTAGTCAAGATTCCACACACCGAGACCCTCTAATGAAACAACGAAAGTCCGGTTCGCATGTATCTGAAACACCCATGTACTGTATTTATCTCATTACACTGTTCCTTCTCCATGAACTGCAAGTCGATTTAGCCATAAATTGTCCAAAGGATTAATCTGTCGTACATGAAAAGTTGCATTAGGTTTGTTTCGGCTCGCTCGGCTTGCGTGGAGATGCGGCCTTCAATTCGTCACTCGTCGCCGTCCGAGAAGGCGTAGTTCGTGTACCCATCGGGGATGAGATTGGGGTCGTAAATTCAGCCGTTGCGGGTGAATCAGTCTCGGAACGTTCCATAGCGGGCCTCAGTGGCGTTGCGGGAGAATCTAATGGCCGCATTGGGCTGTTTGCAGCCGTGGTCACCTTGATAGGTGTGGCCGTAGTTGAGGGAGCAGTCTTGGTAGGCGTGCTCGGGGCGGGCGTTTCACCCTCGGCCGGGGTTCGTGAAGGACTCGGCGGTGTTTTTGGGAAAGTCATATCCGGTAATGGTGACGGAAGCCTCACATCTAGCAACGGAGCCCCAGTGCTCAGTGTTCTAGGTGGCAGCGCCGCCGGCTCACTCGGCGGCTCGGTCACGCTACCCGATCGAGGGGGAAGTAGCGGGGCTTGGGCTTGGACTTGGGTGCCTGTCTCGGGGCTCGTAGGATTGAGGGCCGCCGCTCGAGACGCCGGGTGAATCGACTTGCCCGGCCTGGGAGGAAGGCGTGGAGCAAAATCGATATCCGGAAGTCGGGGTGAGAAGTCTATGTCTCCGGTCACGGTAGGATGCCGGACGAGCGTATGAGAAGAGCCGTACTCGATCTTCATCGGTGCTTCGCCAACAGGTTCGGGTGGGAGCGGTGCGTCTCGAACCAGGTGGTTCTCTTTTTCCTTTTCGGGCATTTTGTCGTCGTGAGCCACCGCCCCTTGGGCCTCGGATAACGACGGGTTCGCCGAATGTCCCGAAACCGATCCGTTCTTTTCGCCCCTTTCCGGTTCAAGGCTAACGCTTGATTCTGTTGCATGATATTCTGGAAGCTCTTCTCCTGTCGGGCCCTTGTCTGCCGCGTTGTCAGGTTTGACCGTAGCTCCACTATTCTGCTTCTCAGGATGCACAGGGGTCACGTTGAAGATTGTGCTCGAGGCAGGGGAACTTCCTTCTGTCTCACGTTCGCCAAACACCAGCGGTGCTGATTGCCATGTGTCAATTCGATATACTTGATATCAGAGAATAAAACATACCATATGTGATCATGTCCTCTAAAACCGTGTCTTTCATGCTCCCCACGCTCAACAAATCCGAGCTCCCACGAGGAATTTCGTCTTCTCCAAATACCACCGATCCAAACACAATTGCGAGGTTACGCGCATCCATCCTGCAATTTGTGAATTTGGATGCACACATTGCAAGGGTGTGAGGCGTACTTGTTCTTTTGCGCCCTTCCCGCCACGCGTGCCAAGTGCTCCACAACAACTCGTACTGTTGCCTGGTGTACTCCCGGGAGTCTTCTCAGTCTACCACGTAGTACAAGGAAACCGTTCTTGACATGTTCACCTGGGCGCGATGAGCTAGGGCGGAGGAAGGCTGAAACAAGGAACACTTACTGCGACCAGCAGAATGCTGAATCCGTTCAGCAAGCGGGAACCGGAACACCGGCTCTGGCAATTCGCGCAGGTACCGCTGAGTCGATATTCGAGGCTCAGCCATGCATCTCCCGAATGGCACCACTGTTAGTGCGTACCTTGAGCATCGAACCAATGCAATACACATCCGTCGTCTTTTCAAACTCGAACTGCGTCTCGTCCTTTTCGACGCGATGTATGAGCTGCCATGGGGTAAGTCTATTGTGCAAATCCTCTG